GTGTTTAGACATGTGCTTCAAACACCGATCACACCGAAGGCATTCCCCATAGCGACCGCTCGAGGATGAAATGAGGAACCATCCCTCGAAAGGGAACCATGGTTACTACACTTTTACTATAATAAAACCATGGTTAATTTCGTAAGGGATAGATATTGCTTTCCTCAGCGGACATTCAAACTAATGTTTTATTCTGAAAATGAGATTGAGCTGAAGAATGAATGCTGTATTAGATGCAGGTAATCACATTCACGTAGTCCTCCTTTCTCTCATAATACTCTACATAATACAGTAAGCTTTTAATACAGTAATACTTTCAATAAATCAACTCAACATTCCCGCATTACTAGTTCTAAAGTGACAATTAGTAACGGAGGTTTGAGTCCAAGTTGTTTCTTATTTATTTACACGCCATTGAACTGTTGTATAAATGCATTATCACACGAGTAGCCGTGTGTTAATCGCTCTACATTAGCATGGCTGTGATTACCGACGGCACTCGGCTTGCGGCCAAATCAACAGCTATTCTGATAAAGAGCGATATCACATGGCTACTCATATGATATTGCTCATGTAATGTGTGATTATGGACTGCAACAGCTGGCCAAGTCTGTTGTGATTGGTCTTTCTGTATACAATGCGTTGGAAACGAAACACCCATTACCATAATTAATTTTTTGCTCCCGAGGGTTACTTGCAAACAAAGATGCTACAAGCTTACAAGAATGGCATCGATATTACCTTATTAATTTGAGCCCGAGGATGATAGTGATGCAGTCGCTCAACCGGAAACTCCATCGCAAGCACGACTTGATCAGGACGTTTCTCAGTGGTAAGTTTAAACTTTGTATGTGGTACTTCACGTGATGTGACAGCAGTTTTATTGCATTCATTATTATTATTATTGACTTATTTGAGGTGCACGTGTGGGAACTGTGTTAGAATGCCCAGTGAGGCTGAAAACAGCATCTTCTCGACATGATGCAAACACACTAACTAGCGGAAGTGTTCGTGGGCAGGTCAGAGTGTTCGTAGTTCGCGGTAAGGCGGGCATTATGCAAATGTATTACCTTGTGACGTATGTGGGTAACAGGCAGAAGATTCGAAAATATAACGACTCGTTAAGGCCAAGACAATATCTTTATTTATCATGCACTTTTTTGATTAACAACTTTGCAGACTGTTTACATTGAAGGATAGCTACGTTACGAACTGCAAAATATATATTTTTCGAAAACCCATATTACCTGCTCTTTAAAGTATAAAATGAAAATGTCTATATAATACCTAATATAAAAACACCACTAATAAAACAGCAGGAAAATGCCACACATCTCAGAGCCAGCAAAAGCAATGAGAAGAGTGACTATTTAATTTCACAAAGTAAGAGCCAATTGATTGTTGTCCACACGTTAAGCACCATATTAACAAAATTATGACTTCTAGGAATCCAGACTCTGGTCTCATGAGATTAATCAGTCATTTTGGATCTAACAGCATCTGAAATGTTCTGGTGTTGCTAGAGGATGAGAACAGAGAAGAGTCTGGTTCCCACAGTGAAGTGCAGTGGTAGTAAAACACTTCTATAGGGATGTATGAGTGCTGAAGGTGTTGTTTTATCAATGCTGTCATCAATTCACATACCACTGTGTGATGGAATACAAAAACTTGAAGTAGAAGAATCGACCATCATCTTCAAGTTACGATTTGTTGTGAACTTGTACACTCAACACCAAGGGTTTGAGCAGTAAACTTTTGTTTTCTTAAATTATGGAGGACATGCTACATTCTAGATCATTATGTTGGTTTAATTTAATAAAGGTTGTACTCATTTTGCAACCCTTAATTTAAGCAAACTTATTTTATAGATTATGTCACGATAAAAAGGAATAATGTTTAATACATTTAAATGTGGTTATCTTTTCATGAATTGTAACACTGAGGCTGTCTGGTGCAGTCTCAACAACCTGGAGCTTAACACGCTCAAACTGTGGAGATGATCGCGGACTTCAGGAGAAACCCCCTGCTCTTCCTCCACTCACCATCATGAACAGCACTGTAACGACAGTGGAGACATTCAGGTACCTGGACACCACCATCTCTCGGGACCTAAAGTGGGACAATCACATTGAGTCCATTGTCAAAAAAGCCCAGCAGAGGTTGTACTTCCTTCACCAGTATTAATAATAATATAATAAGACTTTCAAACAATCCAGTAATCAATATGTGAAACAACAGATCAGCTGGAATCCCAAACACTGGACTATAGTTTGCAATGGCTGCAGTTATATTCTGTTGGAAGCTTCTCTGTAGTCGTGACATCAGGGATGCAAGTTAAGTGTTGAACATGAATTACGCTGCACCTATAATGTGTAAAGTGACTTAAAATTAAAACAACAATACATAAAGTATATTTAACTTATCCTGTAAACACAGTTTGAATCTATATGTCATTTACCATTGTAAGGCTTTCAGAGATGTCATTGTCTGGGTTTATCTTGTTACAAGCTGTGCAGAGGGCATAAACGTCACCTTGTTTGGGTAACTGTTGAAACACAAAAAGGACCTCAATAGATCATCATAATAAATAAACTTATCGCCATCATATTCAATTAATGTGCACTCTATGATATCTGGCTATTTACACAGATTTTGAATCCGTCTAGACGTTGAGAGCTCCCCCTGTGGTTAGGTAATCCTCTGCAAACTAACCAATCAAGTCATGCAAGAACATTATTATACATAAGGTAAACAAAATCTCCACTGAAGATAAATACTTTGTTTCCCTACTTCTAAACCACTTAACTTATTGATTGCTATCGGGATGTGAAGAGACTTTCAACCAGCATAACAAAAATGTTTCTGATTCTAATAATCACTTTAACGTAGCTTGCGCCAACAGTGATACACATAAGCAGCTCCGGGCGGATGACGTATGAGGTCAGCGTTGCGCATGCGCCGGTGAGTCTCGTGAAAACCAACGTTTGTTTACAGGAGCAAAGGAAGCAACGTTTCCTTACTTTAGCAAAGCAAAACCAGTCTCCTCTTGACTTTTATCGAAATCCTCTGACATTCTTCTTTACAAATCCTCGTTTTGTACTTCTAATTAGTGACCGTTGTTTTGTTTTGATCTCTCCGCTGAGCTTCCGCGTGCGTCAGTTCTAAGCGGCGCATGCGCAACGCCATTTTCATTTTTGTGTGAACTAACCCTTTAAGTGTCGTCTTCTGTGAAACTAAAAACAGGAAGAAGCATGCTGTTAATTTTTTGTAAATTTTTTCAAAACTTAAGCTATTTTCATTTTGCATCTTAAGTAAATGTATCTTCATTTAAAGTTGTTTAGGTATTTGTATTGGAAAATGAGTCAATAAATACATTTAATTCCATGACCATAAGGATTTAAAGGGATAGTTCACCAAAAAATGAAAATGTGATGTTTATCTGCTTCCCCCCGGGACATCCAAGATGTAGGTGACTTTGTTTCTTCAGTAGAACACATATGATGATTTTTAACTTTAACCGTTGCAGTCTATCAGTCGTACAATGCATGGCAATGGTAACAAAATCTATGAGAGTAAAAAAAACATGCACAGACAAATCCAAATTAAACCCTGCGGCTCGTGACGATACATTGATGTGTAAAGACACCAGGCGTCCGGTGCGTGAGGTGTGTACGCGCTCTGGCGTAGTTTACGTTAATGGGTTTGTTGATATCCAGCCGAAGAGCAATCAACCATAACTTCAGGCGAGCAGGCTCAGAAGTTGGGAATACGTGGAAAGTCACCACTCCCGAATGAGTTCGTGCGAGAGAACGTAATCTTTTAGTTTTAAGTCGGTTTGTACAATCCGGATAAGCGCAAGTAAGTACCCTTTTGATTAGCCGTCGTACCTACAATGTTTGTGCACTGTGTAAACAATGAGTGACGTATATGCGCGAGAGATCACTTCCGGCGCTTGCGTAAACAACGCCAGAGCACGTACACTCCTCACGCACCGGATACCGTGCACGCGCTCAAGGCAGTTGGACATAGTGGTGTATTAGAGGTAAAAAATTATATAAATACTGTTCGGTTTCTCGCACAAACCGATTGTTTCGTGTCTTAGGACATCAATGTGTCGTCACGAGCCGCAGTGTTTAATTTGGATTTGTCTGTGCATGTTTTTTTTTACTCTCATAGATTTTGTTACCATTGCCATGCATTATACGACTGATAGACTGCAACGGTTAAAGTTAAAAATCATCATATGTGTTCTACTGAAGAAACAAAGTCACCTACATCTTGGATGCCCTGGGGGTAAGCAGATAAACATCAAATTTTCATTTTTGGGTGAACTATCCCTTTAAGACCTTTTTAAGGCCTTCATTTGTGGAAGGTTGAATTAAGACTTTTTAAGACCTCTGTAAGACCTGCAGAAACCGTTTAGGGGTGGACCTTCATGCTTACCTTTTTCTTAAAAAATCATGCATTTTTATATGATTCACAATGTTCAAATTCATATGAAATCGCCACCTTGTGAAATCACCTGCCAATGTTAGAGCTATTCAACAATATGCAGAAGTGCTCAAAGAATTGCTTTACTGGTGTCCCATCTTCAGATCTTGTGTTTACATAATCTGAAGGATTTCACCAGAGTTTGAACCTGGAAATACACAAAACCCTGACAGTGTCATTTCTTGACAGCTCGACCTTCTTTGATAAATTGTGCTGTGTTTGATAAAGTGAACGTGGCTCGAAACGCCCCTCATTTCCTCTCCCTGCCAGGCACAATGAATAATGTTGCTGCTCATTGTGTCCACACAGATTCTTTCTTCTGCCCCGGGTGGGTGGAAATCAAGGCATTTGATCTGAATTCTGAAGAGTCTTGTTAGCCTCCATAAAGAGCCGCATTGTGTATAAATGGGTTATATAAGTGCATATGACAGCCATGGTGCAGGGTTGTGGCTAGTAGCGCAGAAATCCTTTGCATTTGCAAAGGGCATGCTGATCTTTAGCGAGGCCATTAGCTGTTTCCTGGAAATGTCTCTATATTATCACAGCTGAAGGTAAATCACTCTTTTCATATACCATTATCAAACACGGAAACGTTCAATTGACTGCTCAGCATTCATTTTTTTTGGAGCACATCGTCAAATTTAAATCCTTATTGCAAATTGGACTGAAGATTCGTCATATAGTTTATACAGACGTACTGAAGTGCTTTGAGCTCTGATCACAGCAAATGTCCTATATTAGTGTATATGTGGAGTTGTTGTGTGGGCCAACCGAAAGCTTGCTATTGGCCAGGTCGTGTTGTGTCAGGTGACGACATGCGGTGCTAGACCATCGCCCAAGCTCCTAACCAGCTCCAGATTAACCGCAACTCATTTTATTTCAGTCAACCAAGTATCCAAATGCCAAGAACCCAGTCTGTTGTTCTTCATGTTTGGAGCTGGTAGCATAAGCTGCTTTCTCACGGGCTGAACCTGGTAAATTACTGCTCAGATTCAGAATTTTGTGTCAGAAAATATTTGTAATTTAGCGTTATATTGTTTTGTTTGTTGGGATTACAGTAATCTTGAATGTTGTGTAATTGGAAGTTTAAAAGTTGATGTGTTTAGCCATGTTGTGTATGACTTCTGAATATGTTACACACATTACCAGTCAAAAGTGTTCAGCTTTTTTACCCTTTATTGTGACTGTTTTCCACATTTTATGTATAAGTACGTATAAGTACGTAATTGTAAAGGCATTAAAACATTAAAATAATACAAATGGATAAATGTGATTAAAGAAATCAAAACCATCATATATATATATATAGATAGATAGATAGATAGATATAGTGTTGGTTAATTTAGTCTAAAAAAGTAATTAATTAAGCTAATAATTACATTTGTGTATTTAGATTACTGTACTAATTACTCGCTGTAAAAAGTATTGCATTACTTATTACTAATTACTTTCTAAATGCCATATTTGAACAATATAAGGATGGACATGAAACTGCTTTTCTTTCAAATAAATAATATAAAATTGCATAAATTATTCTTGAACTGACCAAAGTATTTAAAGGGAGAAGGTTGTTGTTTTACAGACTATACAGTATTTGGTTACACTTTATTTTAAGGTGTCCTTGTTACGGTGTAATTATACATTTAAGTACTGAGTAATATTAATTAACTACGTGTACTTACTATATGGTTAGGGGTATGATGAGGGTTTGGTTTATGGTTACTTGCATGTAATTATGCATAATTAATTGTTATTACAATAGTAAGTACATGTAACGTGTGTAACAAGGACACATTAAAATAAAGTGTTACCCAGTGTTTCCATCAGAAGTAACTGTAATTAAAGTACATGTAATTAAATATTGTGTAATATTGATATAAAAATGCAAAGAACAAAGAAAATATATTACATTTCTTGTTAGTAACAACATGAAGTGCATTAAACATTACGTTACATCAAGGTTTCCCAAACTGGAGTTTGTGAAGGAACTGCAGGGGGTTCATGAATTTACTGAAAAAGCTAATAATTAATTAAATCTTTTTAAATGAACATCAATCAAAATAAAACACTTACTAAAAGATGAAATATTTTATTTGTTTTCCTGCATGTCATGTGATCATTAATTAACCTCAGAGAACGGTGAACATGTGATACCTAAGTATTAAAATATTTATTTTAGCATCTCGGGGGGGACTTGAAGTAAATATATTAGGTGAAAGAGGTTCAGATGACAAAAAAATAAAATAAAATAAAATGGGAATCCCTGTAAATAAGAAATAAAATTTGTGCATTTTAATGTGTTTGAAAGACAAAAGCCTTCCAAAGACATGGTAAAATAACCAACTGAGTGATAATTCAAATTAAAGTTAATGTGTTCATCAATAGTTGATGCAATGTTGAAATGTTGAGAAAACGCTTCTTAAAACTGAAATGATTCTGTAAATCCAGTGCTCAGATGCTGTGTGGCTTCTCAGTTGTAATTACAGTATAGGCACCTGATTAGTGACCGGTCTCTGTGTGAATGTCCACAAAACTGCAAGACTTTCAGTGTATGCAAGCGGTAGGCTATTTTAGAAAGGAACATTTAAAAGATAATAAACAGGGAGAATCAATAAATTATAATTTATTGCTATTGTGTGGATAATATGTAATCATGTAATCAATAAAAACGAGTTTCACAATTTGAGTTGAATTACTGAAATAAATGAACTTTTCCACGACATTCTAATTTATTGAGATGCACCTGTATATAAGCTTTATTTTTGAAATTGTATATAAAACGTTTTTTTTTTTTTAACACAGGCACAATATGTGACCCTGGACCACAAAACCAGTCTTAAGTCACTTGGGTATATTTGTAGCAATAGCCCAAAAAAATTGATTTTAATGCCAAAAATCATTAGGATATTAAGTAAAGATCATGTTCCATGAAGATATTTTGTAAATTTCCTACTGTAAATATATCAAAACTTAATTTTTGATTAGTAATATGCATTGCTAAGAACTTCATTTGAACAACTTTAAAGATGATTTTCTCAATATTTTGATTTTTTTGCACCCTCAGATTCCAGATTTTCAAATAGTTGTATCTCGGCCAAATATTGTCCTATCCTAACAAACCATACATCAATGGAAAGATTAGTTGTTCACAACTCATTTCAAACATTTCATTGAGGGATTTTCATGAGAAACAAATACAGCCAAGTATACACAAAATATATTAATTTAATGCAGAGTTGAACCTGTCAAGAACACAGATTAAAGTCCTTGTGCTTTGCTTTCTCGTCTCTTTAGTCCTCGAATCCACCATGAACTGGGCGTCGTTTTACGCGGTGATCAGTGGTGTGAACAGGCACTCGACAGGCATCGGCCGCATCTGGCTGTCGGTCATCTTCATCTTCCGGATCATGGTGCTGGTGGTGGCGGCCGAGAGCGTGTGGGGCGACGAGAAGTCGGGCTTCACCTGCAACACCCAGCAGCCCGGCTGCAACAGCGTGTGCTACGACCAGTTCTTCCCCGTCTCCCACATCCGCCTCTGGGCTCTGCAGCTCATCCTGGTGTCCACGCCGGCCCTGCTGGTGGCCATGCACATCGCTCACCGCCGGCACATCGAGAAGAAGATCCTCAAGATCTCCGGGCGAGGGAGCGCCAAGGACTTCGAGAACATCAAGAGCCAGAAGTTCAAGATCACCGGTGCTCTGTGGTGGACTTACATGATCAGCATCGTCTTCCGCATCGTTTTCGAGGTGGTTTTCTTGTACATTTTTTACTTGATCTATCCGGACATCAAGATGGTGCGCCTTGTGAAGTGTGACTCTTACCCCTGTCCCAATACAGTGGACTGTTTCGTGTCGCGTCCCACAGAGAAGACCGTCTTCACTGTCTTCATGCTGGCCGTGTCTGGAGTCTGTGTCTTGCTGAACATTGCAGAGGTTGTGTATTTAATCGGTCGGGCGTGTATGAAATATTTTCAAGGAGCAGTGGGTGAACCCAAAGCGCCTTGGCTCACTCAAAAACTGGCAACCTACAAGCAGAACGAAATAAATCAGCTGATCTCAGAGCATTCGTTCAAGCCGAGATTCAACGTTGGGCGAAAGCCTCCCACGGATAAGAGCGAACGTTGCTCTGCTTTCTAGACGGAGGTTTCTACCAAATATCAGTCATTAATGGAAGGTGCACTCTAAAAAATGCTGGGTTAAATACAACCCAGTGCTGGGTAAAATATGGACAAACCCAGCAATTCTGTTCTTTTGACCCAGCGGTTGGGTTAAATGTTTAACCCAACCTTCTGTGTAGTAACCCAAATGCTGGGTCAAAACAACCCAATCGCTGGGTTTGTCCCTATTTTACCCAGTGCTGGGTTGTATTTATCCCAGCATTTTTTGGAGTGTAAGATCGGAGGAATAATCAGGTGTCACACGAGACATTCATAGGTAAGCAAACACTGGAGAGGGTAAACGGTTAGTCATTCGCTTCTGTCCTGAAGTTTGGTGAACTCTGATGCACTGAAATTTCATAATTCTTGTTACCAATTTCAATATTTAACAAAAAATAAATAAAAAATACTAGCCGAAGTAAAAACAAGCTTATACTTTAGCGTTATACAGCCACAAATGACAAAGAATAGACCTACTTGAAACACTTAAAGCACTGAATAAGAAATTATATTGTATAAAATAAATGTACAAATAAACTGAATAGTCTTCACTGTATAAATTCAATATGCATTCATTCTTATTTATTTTACAAAAGTGATTCGGTCAAGGACAGCGAGTAATTTTCTTTCTAATGTTTGATTAACATTATTGACATAAATTTTTAACAGCAGCTAAATTAGGCTGCTTTAGAGGAATAGCTCACCCAAAAATTAAAGGTCTGTTGTTGTTCTAAACCTGTATGAGTTTCCTTCTGCTGTTGAATGTAAAAGTATATGAAGAGTTCATTTGAAAAAACAGATAACTCCATTTTTAACAATTTTCAAAAATGATGTTTTTTCATTGTGCATTCCAATTATTCTCGATCAAACTGCAGTTGGGTTATTTTGATTAAGTTAAAAAA